GCTTCTTCACAAGATGTTAGTTCTATCAGAGATACCAATCCTAAGAGTACTTCTTCCGAATGTTTAAATGTAGATCTTGTTCTGACAGGTTCAACTTTGTCTCCTAGAATTAAATCTTCAGAAACAGTTTGTCTAATCCTTTGTCCTTTCTGCACGGAAGGACATTCAGTTTCTTCTGATGTATCAATATGTTTTCGGTCTATGATTTATGAGTCTTTTGTCCTATCTCCAGAACCTGTGAAGGTAACTTCTAGATCTGCAAAATTCTTAACTAACTTTGACATATCTAAGTCAAGCTTACCGTTAAATCTAACATGGATTAATTCCTCAACAATATGTGTTTCTGTATTGTATACTCTATAGCCCCTAGAGCGTTATGAGTATCCTAACATGATACACTTTTGTGCCTTAGAATTAAACTTATTTAGATTCTCTTTAGTATTCAAAATAAAACACGAACATCTAAAAGGACGAAAGTAAGAAATGTTGAGTTTTCTTTCTTTACACAGTTCATAAGGAGTCTTATCTAGAATGAGTCTAATAGAGATCCTATTTTGGATATAACATGTTGTGTTCACAGCTTCTGCCTAGAAGTGCTTAGCCACATTAGTTTCGTTCATCATAGTTCTGACCATTTCTTACAACGTTCTATTTTTCCTTCCTACAACTCCATTTTATTGTGGAGTTCTAGGATAGGAGAAATCATGAGATATACCATTAGAATCAAATAGTTCCTCAAACAGTTGATTCTCAAATTTGCCACCATGATCACTTCTAACTCTAACAATCTTATAATTAAATTCATTTTGCACTTGAGAACAAAAACTTGTAAACACAGAATGCGACTCATTCTTGTGTCTAAGAAATTTCACCCATGTCCAGCAACTATAATCATCAATGATGACAAGTCCATACTTCTTGCCACTGACTGACGCTGTTTTGACGGGGCCAAACAAGTCAATGTGTAGAAGCTCCAAAGGTCTGGAGGTGGAAACAACATTTTTTGATTTAAAAGATGTTTTCGAAAACTTTCCCTTTTTGACATGCTTTACAGAGTGCATCTAAAGTAAACTTCAGCTTAAGTAGGCCTCTGACTAACTCAAGTTTGTTTAGCTGAGAAATTATCCTCATGCTAATATGACCCAAGTGTCAATGCCACACCCATTGCTCTTCATTAACAGACATTAAGCACCTAACATCTTGGTTTTTAAGGTCAGAAAGCTTAATCTTATAAATGTTATTTTTCCTCTTTCCAGTGAAGAGAACAATGTCATCTTTCTGACTAACAACCTTGCACGTTTTTTGATTGAAAATAATGTCATAACCGTTATCACTTAACTGACTTATGAATAACAGATTATGCATTAATCCCTCAACATAGAGTACATTAGATATAGAAGGAAGGGATCCATTACCCACTGTTCCAGAATCTTTGATTCTTCCTTTCTGGTCTCCTCTGAACCCTACGTATCCAACATTTTTAAGTTTCAGGCTTTGGAACATATGCCTTCTTCCCGTCATGTGTCGCAAGCATCCAGAGTCCAGGTACCATGACTAGTGTTTTAACTCTGCTGCATAAGATATCTGCAACATATACTATTTTATCCTTTGATACCCATAAAATTTTGGGTCCTTTTAAATTAGTGTTCCTAGAGTTTCTGATAAATCTAGGTTTTCTTGCAGCATTAAATTTTCATTTCTGCGCTGGTGTATAATGGTAAGAAAAAGGTGATACAAGTTTGTTTTTTTGAGAAGGTTTTTGATCATCATTGTCAGAATCATAACCTATTCCTCTTTTTCCATTGTGGAAAATACCATAGATCATAGAGGCCATTCTACTTCTATCTATACTACTATTTAAGAATTTTTGAAAAGTCTTATCATACTTAGATAAGATGGTTTCAAAAGAAGAAGAAGAAGTAGCTTTAGAAAGAGTTTCTTCGAGTTTTAAACATTTTTTGTTAAGAAAAACATTTTCTCTATCTAAGACAAGGCTTTCATCTTTTTGTTTTAAAACCTCTTTCTCAAGCTTGGCATTTTCTTCAACTTTATATTCAAGAGCCTTTTTCAGATTCTTGAATTTTTGTTGAAGTTTCTGATATCTTTTCAGAGATTCAGAAAGACATAATTCTAGGTCAACACGTGAAAGGTTAGAAAATACCTCTTCTGAGTCAGACTCAGTTTCTATTGCAACCTCTTCAGATGTTGTGGCCATGAAGGCTATGTTGGCGCGCTCATTTTCAGAATCGGATTCCAAAACTTCAGAATCAAAATTATCCCATGTGGCTATAAGACATTTCTTCTCCCCTTTAAACATATTCTTCTTGAATCTTTCTTTTCTGAAGCCATCCTTTGTGAACTTTTGACAATCTTGTCTGTAGTGTCCAGGTTCCTTACATTTATTACAAGTTATCTCATTACTTGTTTTTCATCTTGAAGATGATTCTGGATGATCTCCTCTGTTTCTGAATCCTCGAAAGTTGTTTTGTATGTTTTTCCAAAGTTGTCCGACTCTTCTGGATAAGAGAGACAATTCGTCCTCGTCATCAGAATCTTCAAAATTGGAGTTTTCATCTTCGACCTTATTTCTTTCTGGTCTTGATCTTAAGACAACAAATTTAACCTTTTTCTGAGGTTCATATTCTTCTAGCTCTATATTATGACTTCTGAGAGAGCTAACTAATTCTTCAAGACTTATATTGTTCAGATCCTTGGACAACTTCAGTGCAGTAACCATTGATCTCCATTTTTTAAGAAGACTTCTCACAATTTTTTTAGCATGATCTGCAGTAGTATAACCTTTTGTTTAGAACTTTGAGTCCTGCTACCAAGGTTTGGAATCTTGAGAACATGGATTCAATAGTTTCATCTTCTTCCATCTTGAAGGCTTCAAATTTCTGGACCAAGGCAAGAGCTTTGGTTTCCTTGACTTGAGTATTGCCTTAATGTGTCATTTTTAAAGAATAAAAAATACCCTTTGTTGTTTCTATGTTAGTAATTTTTTCATACTCATTGTATGAGATAGCATTTAGAAGAATGGTTCTTGATCTGTGATAATTTTTGAAAGTCTTGCTTTTGCTCATCACTCATCTTGCTTCTTAAAATGGGCATTCCAATAGCAGAAAACGGTGTTTTGTAACCATTTGTCACAATATCCCAAAGATTTACATCATAACCTAAAAAGAAACTTTCTATTCTATCTTTCTAGTAGTTAAACTTTTCTCCATCAAATACATGAGGCTTGGAGTTGTAACTGTCTCTTTCGTTTGTGTTGGAAGTGGCCATAGAGTTTTTCTCACGCTGGATCTCTCTACACGGTTAAATGTTAGATATGAAAATCAATAAAAGAGCCGATGCTCTGATGCCAATTGAAGGTTGAGAAAAAACACAAGAAATAGGGGTTGAATTGGGTTTTACAAATGTTTCAATGGACTTTGAAACACACACACAAACAAATGTATGAACCACAAAAAGAAAGAACACAATTGGTTTATCCTGGTTCACTGTTAACGAAACTAATCCAGTCCACCCGCCAAAGTGATTTTTCCTTATCACAAGGACTTAATCCACTAATCTTTGACAAGATTACAACCACCTTTAAGTCATCAACAATTTAACCCTCTCGAGTCTACTGACTAACACACTTAGCCACTCAAGAAAAACTTACAACCAACATCTAAGTTGTTCAACAACAACTTAGCCCTCTCGAGTCTACTGACTAACACACTTAGCCACTCAAGAAAAACGTACAACCAACCTCTAAGTTGTTCAACAACAACTTAGCCCTCTCGAGTCTACTGACTAACACACTTAGTCACTCAAGGAAAATCACTTAAAAAGTGTTACAAGAATGTTTACAATAATGCTTCTTAATAAGCAGGTTGAAACAAATTTAGGAACAGTATTTCTACACAAATATGAGCAGCAACTCTTTGTGTTTTGAGATTCTTTGACAGAGTATGTACTTTAACGTTTTGACTTGAATCGTTGTCCTTTGCAATGTAGCGTAGTCTTCTATTTATAGCCTCAAGAGATATACATTGAGGGATAAGAATGTCTTTGAGCTAGGTTAGCTGTTTTCAACGATAGAATTCTTGAAGGGCAGAAGTAGTAAAAGTTTAGAAAGCTTTCTGATCAATTCTGAGCAAAATCTTTTCTTTAGACTTTTTTAGGAAAGGGCCGTTTGTAGGGATTCTTGGCCTTCACGTTTTGCTTTGGACTTCGAGCTTTGATCCTTATCATGTACTTTGAATTTTAACGCTGATCAAAATCTTTAGAATCCTTTCTTTAGAAACAAACACTTTTTTGAGAAGCAAATATTTTCTTCTTTAGAAACTCTAGTATCTGTCAGAATCTTGTTCAGTTGCGCTAGAAGTTGATTCCAATGAGAATTATATATTTGTACACTTAAGATAAAATTAGAGTGTCAAATTGTTATGTATAAAATATATGCATTGTTATCCTTAAAACTTGAGATTATATGCAGAACTAAAATTTTGTTCTAATAGAATCGTGAGAGTGCCTAGTAACCTGTATTTAACAATGGTTCCCTTCTTTTATATCACCTTAAATTTTGCCTTAAAAAACACTTTCGATTTGGACAATCGTCTCGTGTCCTCGTCGTCTCTGCGCAAAGACTCTCGGCTAGGTTTGTTGATCTAAATAAGTGATTTTGGAGGTTAAGTGATTTCTACCTCTAAATCGCTTTTTTATTATAATTTATTTTCACATCAGTGCCTACTAGACTCTGTTTTAAAGTATTTTCACATTTTTTTTAATGTGTTTGATCTTTTATGGATTTTTCAACCGACTTAGATGTGAACCAAAGAAAAATGATCTGCTGGCTGCTGTGTTGTTGTATCGAAACCACTAATTTTTTCAACACTAAATAAAATAAAATTATCATGGTCACGCCATTTTTGAAAAATGAACACCGCTTAAAATCATGTGGACCAACTCTCTTGTTTAAATATCCCAAGATTGGTAAGTTCCAAGCAAAGATGGGAGAATCAACAGAAAGGTAAATATTATCAAACTTTCTTTCTCTCCTCTCTACTATACTTTCATTAACATATTCAAACATGTTTTTGAATCTCCTAGATTTTTCCAACCCTTGTGTTTCTATTCCTCAGGTATGCGGTTGTGACTGGATCAAACAAAGGAATTGGATTTGAGATAGTTAAGCAGTTAGCTGAAGCTGGTATCAAAGTGGTGCTTACAGCAAGAGATGAACAAAGAGGACTTCAAGCTTTGGAAACACTCAAAGCTTCTGGTTTATCTGATTTTGTTGTTTTTCATCAACTAGATGTTGCTGATGCTGCAAGTGTAGCTGCTCTTGCACATTTTGTCAAATCACAATTTGGCAAACTTGATATTTTGGTAAACATAAATTAATCTTAGTCATATGCATTGATTGACATGCTAACCAGACACAGACACCAGACACTTGTAAAAATTTTCTGACACATGTTGTATAAGTGTCATAGAAATGTCGAACATAAACTCGTGTTCCGTGTTGGATACTGTGACGCGCCTACTCATAGAAGTATCTGATCTTCATACTAATTTCCGTAACAGACAGAGACAATTATTTTTGTAGGTTAACAATGCTGGGATTGGTGGTGTTGAAATTCAAGATAGTAATTTATTCAGATCAACACTCCTCACAAATGGGGTTAGTATAATATCTATCAACATCTTTACGTGAATATTGAATTGTTTTGTTTGAAGAACTTGTATAATAATTATGAATATTGAGTTGTTCTTATTACTTTGCAGAAGGCATTATCTGATGATGAATTGAGAAGCTCAATGACACAAACATATGAGTCAACTAAAGAATGTTTGCAAATAAATTACCATGGAGCTAAAACAACATTTGAGTACCTTCTTCCGCTTCTCGAGTTATCAGATTCACCAAGAGTAGTCAATGTGTCATCAGCATTGGGCAAGATAGAGGTAATTTAACAAACTTTTACATCAATATAGTGTTTAATTAAATTAGCATTTGTCACTTATATTGATTTTATTGATGTCAAATCAGCATGTATCAAATGAATGGGCTAAAGGAGTTTTCAGTGATGTTGAAAACCTTACCGAAGAGAGAATAGATGAAGTGTTAAAGGAGTTTCTCAAGGATTTTGAACAAGGGTCTTTAGAAAGAAAAGGTTGGCCTAGGTATTTAGCTGCCTATACTGTTGCAAAAGCTTCAATGAATGGTTATACGAGAATTATTGCAAAGAAGTATCCGAGTTTTTGCATCAATTGTGTTTGTCCTGGTTATGTGAAGACTGATATAACTGCTAATACTGGTTTCTTCACTGCAAAAGAAGGTGCTGCTCATCCTGTTAGGTTAGCATTGCTTCCCAATGGTAGTCCATCTGGTCTCTACTATATCCGAAATGAACTCTCTTCATTTTGACTCATATGCACCATAGGTGTTATGATTTTATACAATTAATAAATTGTAATCATTGAGATATAGAGATATATTTGATTTCAATTATAATCTGTTTTTTTAGTAGTTGGAACATAAATTTGATTCTATCAGTAATCATATTCATTCTCTCAACAACTCTATTCTGTTGATTCTATCTTAAAGGGGTACTAATTACTCTATGACATACTATGTTTTTTTATCATTTTATTAGTATTTTAATTGTATTTTTGGCGAATATTACGTGAAACATAACAAAAACATGACAAGATTCAAAGTATTGTTGAAAAGACCGATTCATGTTAATGTCACTCTAATCAAATAAATTCTACAATATTTTTATGGTGTAAATTATAGTGACAATAAATGGAATGAGTCTAACACGCAAAATTGGAGAGAAAATATCAAAAATTGCAAAAAGGTTACCAAACGTGGTGCGCATGATACTAGGCGTGACACATTTTTGTGAAAAAATCAAAGTCGGAAGCTATTAGAAAAACACGACGCATCAAATACATAGAATGACATGTTACAGAAGATTGATAAATCTGATTGAGGTGAAACCAATTAAATAAAATCTGACATCCATGGCTATAACTTTCTTGATCATGAGTTCCATTAAGATGAGAGCCTAGATTCTCTAGATTAAGGCTCTAGATTAAGTCTCTTTAGATGAATTTCTTTTATATCTATGTGAATCATGTGATTCATTTAGATATGTTCTCTCTAATAATATATTTATAGTTATTCAATAATATTTTGTGATAAATACTTTTTTCTTGTCTATGAAATATGAGGGATTGATCTATATATATATATACCATCTAATTATGTTGAATTTAAATATTGTTGTGATGCTACTTATAATCACTTGACACTTGACATAGGGTATTTGTAATCATGGCATATGTATTTTACGTTGTTTCAAACCTCTGTCACTTGCGACTTTATCCAAGACATACATATATTCTAATTAGATGAGACTGGTTGTGTGATGAGAAATTATGTGCAATTTTCTTTTATAAAATAATTGTAAGATCATTGAATCGAACTCTAGTTCTGTCGACTAGGAAGTTGTCGATAGGGATAACTTTCAGGTTTTGACAGGAGACAAGCATGAAGTCGAAGATGGTTCGCATGCTGATGTCTAAGTGTTACATATTGTAGTCGAAGTCAGTTCTAATATGTATTGTCAAAAACTTAATGTTGAATTGAATCTTGTGATTAAGGATCCAATTGTTTATTTAGCTTGTAATATAAGCTAGTTAGTTAGTCTATAAATAGGCTAAATCTCTCAGGTTGTTGAGAGAAGGCAATTGTGTTATTCATTTGTAATCATTTGTAAATCCTAAACGAGAAAGTGATTAGAAAACAGTTGCCCAAAATCCTATTCTCCTTCTTTCTTCTTTATTCTTTTTCTTCCCTCTCTTTGTTCTAACCGTTTCATTATTCACCCAAGAAACTCTGTTTCTCAATCAAGAATTTATTAATTGGTATCGTTTGTCACAACAAACTGTGTGGTGAGTGTGGACAAGATGCCGTCAACAAACTGGGTTGTCCCTGAAGGGAAACTCTTCGAAGAGAGATGGTAGGTTTGAGAAGAAGAAAGGTAAAATTCAGCAGAAGTCTTATAGTGGTAATATTTATGGTATTAAGTGTTATCACTATAAGAAGGAAGGTCACACAAGAAAGATGTGTTCTGAGCACTTGAATAATCATGGAGGTAAGAACAATGGCAATGCAACTATTGTGCAAGATGATTATGAATCATTTGATGTCCTTGTGGTGTCGAGTAGTAACTCTTGCAAAAAGTGGATTATGGATTCAGGATATACTTGGATATAACTCCAAACAAGATATGTTTGAAGAATTATGTGATCAATATGGTGGATCAGTGTTGTTGGGAAATAATAAAGCTTGCAAGATAACATGTATTGGATCTGTGAAATTCAAGCTCCATGATGAGTCAATAAGGCTATTGAATGGTGTTAGGTATGTACCTGACCTTAATAGGAATTTGATTTTTATTGGTGAATTCGACAAGAAAAGGCATGTCTTCAACTGAGAGCAAGGTATCTTGAAAGTTACGAAGGGTCGAAGGAAGTATTGAGAGGCGTGAAGAAATAAGGCTTATATACCATTGAGGCTGAGCTTGTAAGTGGTTCAACAAATTTTTCATCCACGAAACCTATGTCGAAGACATCATTGTGGCACATGAGACTGGGCCATGTCAGCAAAAGAGGTCTGGTCGAACTGGGGAAACAGAACCTGCTAAGTGGTGACAAAGTCGAGAAGTTGGAGTTTTGTGAACCTTGTGTATTTGGCAAATCCTGTAGGGTGAAGTTTAACAAAGGTAAATAAAAAACACATGGATGCCTTTATTACATTCATGCTGATCTTTGAGGGTCTGCAAGGAATCCTTCACATTCAGGTGCAAGGTACTTTCTATCCATAGTTGATCACTATTCTAGAAAATTATGGGTATTCATTTAGAAGACTAAGGATGGAACTTTTGAGGATTTCAAAATTTAGAAGGTTCTGGTCAAAACTCAAACTGGCAGAAAGATTAAGAGGTTGAGAATCGAAAATGGCCTTGAGTTCTACAATGAAGCTTTTGACAGTTACTGTGTCGAGTTTGGTATTGCAAAACATTAGACTGTAGCAGGTACTCCTCAACAAAATGGCTTAGCTGAGAGATTCAATTGAATAATCCTTGAAAGGGTTAGATGCATGTTGGTTAGTGCTGGATTGAAGAAGGTGTTTTAGGCGGAGGCTATTTCAACAACTGCTTATCTGATAAATAGATGTCCCTCGATTGCCTTGGGAATGAAGACACCTGAAGAAGTTTGGTCGGGTCAACCATTAGATCTCGATAAACTGAAAGTATTTGGCTGTTTGGCCTATGCTCACATTAGGCAAGACAAGGTCGAACCTAGAGCTCTAAGATGCATGTTCCTTGGATATCCTGAGGGAGTCAAAGGTTATAGGTTGTGATGTCTAGAACTAGGTCACATAAGATGTATCACAAGTTGTGATGTAGTTTTCAATGAAGTCGAGATGGCATTCAAGAAAACTGGTGATCCTGGTCGAATTGCCGAAATCTCTAAAGAGGGGTTGGAATAGGTAGAGATTTCTATTAGGTGAAGCATGGTGATTCTGAAGTGCATAACCCAGATGAAGTCGAAAAAGAAAAGCAAGATGTTGAAGAAACTACCTACTGATAAGAGATAGGTCGAGAAGAGTCATCAAGCCACCTCAGAGGCTTGGTTATGCAGATCTTATGGTGTTTGCCTTAATCTCTATAAGTGAGGTACTTGAGGAAGAACCTAGAGACTACAAGGAAGCTATGAGGATTCGAAATAAGACTGAATAGTGAAAATCCATGGATGACGAGATGAAATCTCTTCATGATAATACCACTTAGGAGCTGATTGAGAAACCTGCAAGAGCCAGGTTAGTCAGTTGTAAGTAGATTTTCAAGGTTAAGGAAGGAATCAAAGGAGTGATGTCGAAGCTCTTTAAGGCAAGGTTGGTTGCTAGAGGATTCAGTCAGAAAGAAGGTGTCGACTTCAATGATGTGTTCTCACCTATTTTAAAGCATATATCCATTCGAATGTTGTTAGCCATGATGGCGAAGTTCGACTTGGAACTTGAACAAATGGATGTGAATACATTCTTCCTGTATGGTGATCTAGATGAAACGATCCTGATGTGGCAACCTGAAGGTATGTAGAAAAGGATAAGGAAGAATATGTGTGCAAGCTGAATAGGTATTTGTATGGCCTGAAACAATCTCCTCGACAGTGGAATAGGAGATTCGAAAAGTTCATGACACACATTGGTTTCACTAGGAGTCAGTTCGATCACTGTGTTTACTTTAGATTTCGACATGGAAACCTACTTGTTATTTTGTTGCTTTATATGGATGATATCTAACGCTACACAAAAAATGATACAGAGTTGCCACCGAATTTTATTTATCCCAAAGAGGAAAAGGGAAATATCGATAAAACCTTTAGGAAAAGAACATGGTCATCGCAACCACATTTTCGGGTTCAGAAGTCGGTTATGTGAGAGGAAGGTATTAGCACCCCCTCATATCCATCGTACATGATGGGAACCTTCTAAGTTGTCTAAGCTCGAATGAGTGTTATATTCTAAAAGTCTACTTGCTAAAGGGAAAGAGGGTTGATTTTTTATTAGAGTGTTCGTCAAGGATTAGGGCCCTTGTGCCTGCGTATCTTCACTTGAAAGAAGTGAAGAATCAGAGCGTTCGTAGTTCGTGTGACTATGGGTGAAAAAATGGAAAGTTAGGGTGGATGATGCTAACGTGCGCATTCTAGTAGTTAGGTGTATTGCGGCTCGCTCGTGGAGTCTTTTGTGTTACCTGTTTGCGGTAGAACGAGCGTAACATGTCTCTTTCTAAGAAATAACGGATGACTAAAGGTGGAAAAGAAATAAGAGTGCTCGCTAGGCTCATCGCAATCCTATGCCTACGTATTCTCAACAGGTATGAGAAATCAGAGCAGTCGTAGTTCGGCCTACGGTTGGGTTGGTGTTGGTTGATTTTATACCATGAAAAAGGGTTTTCAGATGATTCCCTAAGGCGAAAAAGAAATTTGATGAGTTGATGTGGTTTTTAAGGTTTTGAAAGAAAGCTGTTCTTGATTAAGATTGCACTAAAGATTATGGGTAGAGGTGAATATTTCGAACGGTCAAGTCGAGTGCCTTGTGTTCAAAATACTCTGAGTGAGTGTAGGAGGAGCTCCATTCTCATTCCTTCTCCACCACTTAAGGCCCGTGGTGCACAATCCTAATCATATTTTATTGTGTTTTGAATTTTATTGAGAAAAATACCACTTGACATTGGATCAAGGATTTTATTGCTTATTAAGAAAAAGTTTGAAGTGATGCGAATGAGGTTGATGGCGATGCACAAGGCAATCAACTTACAAGTTTGTGTATGGCTTGATATGTGGATCAAG